CAGCACACTACAATTAAAGAGGCCACCAGTTTAATGAAGTTCCGAGTAATTACATTATGTTTGAATCTGTTAGAACAGAGTCAAACAAAACCCTTCAGTTTCTTCAATGCCCCTCACACGCAAAGTATTCGGTTTATTTACAACTATAAAGAAGATACTATAAAGCGTTCTAAAGAACGGGTATCAAGAAAGATTTCATTAATTCTTAAACTGCCCCTTTCACATTGTTTGGTGGAATACAGTTAAAATGTATTTGTTATGAACATAAAATAATGTAATTACCTTACACCACTGGGTTTTCGAAGATAAAAAGTTGTCTAAAAATACAATGTCTTTTAATTTGAGATTCACCTTAAACAATAACATTTCAATTTGAATGCAATAAACACGCTTCATCTAAGAGCTAGCTACAGCACTGCAACTACCTTACTATTGTCACAAATTCTTAATGTAGATATGACCAACCCATATCTTTTGGTAAAATCCATGTATGCTCTTAAATATTTTGAGGATTACTTGGCGAGTGTCGTTCCTCACAACAAAGAATCATACCCTTCAATACTTGAGTATGAAATGCTTTCAATGTCAAAAGGATGAAGCTCTTTTCTGTATTCTCATTCGAAACATCTAAAATAAACTAAGGAGGAGAATAGTGGACACTGCTCATACATAGTTCTACAGTTGTTGCACATGGATATGTCCTTTTAGGTTTTCAATTTAACTTGCTCATTTGAATGTACGTGCTTTCATAAAACGAAGTTGGGTTCTTTGTTGCTGAAGATGCTGACTTTGAGTCAGTGACAGTTGCTGTGGATATAAATACAAAAATTATGCAGGCAAAAAAAAAAAAATGAGAATGCTCCTTGTTAACTAGGAAGTCACAAATTTTCTCTGTCATGTTTATTCTTCATGGCTTTATCAAAAAATAAAAGACAGCATTGCTGTTTGAACTGCAAACCTTACGAGAGCCATGCCAATAGCGTGATGGTAGACATGTACTGTATCACATTACAGGACCTACAGATTGCCTGCAAGGATTATCAGGAGGTTCCTCCTGTTATATAAGTCCTGGTGATACACTCATCTTGCACTTGTTTTACATGAGTTTTCTTGATGGATCCCTCTAAACCATAATATCAACATCATGTAACTGACACAGTGTTGTAAGAGTCTTCTTAACACGGAGAGCTGTAAGTCTTGCAGCACTATTGGCATACCAACATTCTTTCATCAACTTGGACATAGACTGTAGTGTCTAAGAAGAGATAAATAACATTTTGATCATGAGATCTTGGACACTTCGCTTTGGTGATGAAGACAATAAATAAATGGCAAAATCCTTCTTCACTGCAGCAGCTCTTCCTTTTTTTACAGTCCACAATAAAAATAGACCTACTATAGTCACAAATATCTTTCATTTTAATATCTATTTTTTCACACATTTCCTTTAGTGTTTACTGGAAACTCCACCATGAACCAGGGCCATAGCCAGACTTTGAACAAGACGAGGCAAGTTTTGAGCACCAAAGGTGCAAGGTCTGGGGTATGCCTCCCCAGGAAATTTTGAAATCTAGAGGTTCAGAAATGCTGAAAGTGTCAAAAATTTAAGAGAGTAAACTAGTACAATGTGGGGGAAGTCCTGAACAACAAAGTGCCTAAATTTTGCCCTGGAAACTTTGAAATATCCTAAGGAACAGCAAAAAATTACATCACACTTGGGTTCTCCATAAAAAATTCTGTGTTTGGAACTTTTAATTATTAATTTTATGCTGCTTGAATCTTATTGAGCATGCACCACCATTTAACTGCTCTGTTGTTGTGGTTAAAGTGTTTTACAGTACCTAAAAATCAGAGGGTGTATGTAACTATTCAAAGTTATAACAGAGAATAACACAGTTATAACACAGAAACTATGAATTTGAGAACTGTATACCTTTTACCCCATGAAAATACACAATTGAAGCTGGTATGACAATCACAGCAAAAAATTAAACAACTTAGAGGAAGTGATTAACTACAAACCTGATCTTGTATCCATCTATTTGGAAAGGCAGGGCGATACCTCTCCACACAGACCACCTTTCTCATATCTTCAATGCTGGGATCACAGGGAACTCTGTCATAGTAGGGCAGCTGATATTCATCACACAATCCACCACAAACACACGTCCTTGCAATTTCCCATAACACTAGACCAAATGCATACATATCACCTCGCTTGTATGCATCAAAGTGCCGCACCTGTATATTGTCATCTAGAAATTCAGGTGGCATGTAGCGCTTTGTACCAACTCTGTTCCCAGGAGGAACATCAACTGTGTCAGTAATGGAACTATGACGAACAGCAAGACCCAAATCACCTATGCAACATGTCCCTTCAGAAAAGAACAACATACAATTTAGGGTAAAATCTTGTAAAACAGTATATTAATAGTTGTTATCCAATTTAATATTGTATGTAGATAGCTATTGTTTTTACTGAAGATTTTTACCACGTTAGAATAATGATACTACTACTACTACTACTACTACTACTACTACTACTACTACTATTACTACTGCTACCACTACTGCTACTACTACTACTGCTATTTCTACTGCTACACTTTAAATTCTATGACACCAAAACAGTTACTGACACTTCTTCCACACAGCACAATTTGTTTTAAAACATTTTCCCCTTACCATTTCTTTTAACCAGAATGTTTTTACTTTTTAAGTCACGATGTGCAATAGCTGGCTTTCCTTGGGTGCCTACAATCTCAATGTGGAGATGAGCAAGTCCACTGGCTATTGACACTGCTAACTTCAGCATGGATTCAACATTCAGGGTAACAAGTTGAAGATAGTCATACAATGAGCCCCTTTCTAAATAATCTGTAACCAGCCAAAGCTGTGTCCAGGCACCATTATCTTTGTTGTCAGCAGCTACAAAGCCTGCAAAGGAAAAATAACATTTAAAGTGCACCTAACCCCTAAATTTTTTTTTCATTTAAAAAATCTTCATGCTTTGGTTAGTACCTCTTCAAAAAAAGTTTTGGATTTGGTCAAATCCTTAAATTTTTGTGCCCCGTTGAAGTAATGAAAATCGCATTAAAATCACCACCATTTTGACTCGCGACTGCGTTTCAAGGATCAAGAGTCTGGCGACTAATGTGACGTCACTTCGAGAACCCAATAATCTGTATTTCGCACCATTTTGCACAGTTTACTGGTTATGCTTGGAAGGTTAGATCGATATTGGTCGCAAATATGCCGCCGAATGAATCTAGTGCTAGAAAGGCTTTTGCAGGTTGACGACTGGCCGAGAATTTCTTGAGCGTCTTCTCAAAGTGATGTCACAAGTCTACTCTGTCCAGATCCCCATTTACGCGGTCGTGGTCCATTTGGATCTCGACTTCAACAGGGCATAAAAAAATGAGGATTTAACCAAATCCAACAATTTTTTCGAAGAAATACTCACCAAAGCAGGAAGATTTTTTTAAGTGAAAAAAAAATTTAGGGGTCAGGTGCACTTTAAGAGGAAAGTGAGGCCATAAGCTAATAGATAGATATACAAATAAATTGTAACACAAAGAAACAAATGCATCATTAAAGGGAAGACATTCATCAACTCTCTCTGACTGACAATGTGCAAGTAATGTACAGAATTTAAGGTGGCTGAACACAGTTTTCGCACACACTCTTGCTGATGCAATTCAGCACTTGCACAAAGATTGCAAAAACAAACATGCAGTCAACAGATCGGTCATTTCATTTACTCAACATGTACCCGCACTATCTGTGCTATTTTTCTCCATAGTTGGTGCAGTGTATTGATGGCTTTAATCTTTTATTACAAAGATATGTTAGAAAAGTTAACAGTGCAAAAAACCCAGCAATTCTCAGCATTTTCATCCTTACCGAAAGAAACCAGTTAAATGCAGCGTATGTGTAGCAAGTCAAAAAATTGCAATTGGATGGAAAATTGCTTTCTCGGAAATATGCCTTTTCTTGAGAACCACTCATAAGAATTTCCCAAAATTTGGCACAAAAATACTTTAGGAAATAAGTAAACGAAATATTGAAAAAAATGGATTTTAAACAAAGGAAATTCTAGAAAATCGAGTGATCAACAAGGGATAATATCAAAGATCTCTCTTTAAAGTGCATATGACAAGTTTTTTTTTTTTGGCAAATTTTCTTAGTTTATAGTCTTGTAAACATGCCTGAAATGTTTAGCTTTGTTTTGTAAAAAAATTAGTATATTTTTTTTCGTTCAAAACTGCGCTAGTGTTGACCAGTATCTTACCAGAGCCTGGTAACGAATATATTTGTAAGTTAATTTATGCATGATGTCACATGGTGTACCTCTCCTTGGAAACCACACAAACCATACCAAAATGCATCGAAGATGTCTCAAGAAAACCTTGAGAGTTTTAGTGATTCAGAAGAATCCTGTGATGAATCCAACCACTCAGAATCCTCAAGCTCATCATCTAGTGTAGAATCAGGCGATTCCGAAAAAGAAAATAATGGTAGACGAGCCATATCAAGATGAACCACTAGCCAGCCATAGCAATCAAGATCTAGAAGACGGAGATGAAGAAACAGACATCGATGGCCTTCGGCCCTCTACTTTAGAGGCTTGATTTGAAGGCCAGTTAAAAGTTAACACGTGGTAAGAACCTTATGTCATAGTTTTTAGAGTATATTACAATGATCTCTAAGTGATTCTTGATGTTTATAGGTGTAAGTGTCAACACTGTCATGGAGGATGCAATGGAGTTTTGTTGCTGTCATGAGAGAACAAATGCCATCGGTAAATTAGTGTTTGATGGTTCTATAGACAACATAAAGTGCATAACACAACACAAAGATTTTTCAGCCTTGATCAACAAGACAGTACTGATGCAAGTGGCGCCATTATTGTGCTATCGCCGACAAACCGGTCCTACGCAAAATGAGTGAGTACAGTATATTTCATATGCTCAAAATCTAAATATATTACCAGATAATAATTTCTAAATGTGTTATTAACAACAAAAATTGCTTTCTTACTCAGTTCAGCAGAAATTATAGTAGAATAATAATTTCAATTTGTTGTTGCTCTTTTGTTTCTCAGAGAATTAATAGTTTCATTTTCTTCTCTCTATGAAGATTTCTTGCATATCAATGGGTGATTAGATGGACGTGCGGCTTCATGGGTTGGGATAACCAAAGACCATTGTGTACCTGCATATATAGTACCAGGACAATAAAGTAAAATTCTATCTAATCCTCAATCCATAAATTATTTTATTTCAAAAGTCTCCTTTGTATCAAGTTTGTTTTTTATGTTCCAATGCTAGAAACAAATATACTTCTTACATACTAAGTTCTTTGTGCCTGTGAAACATGTGAATTGTCCAATTAGTATAAAACAAACAAAAATGTATCCTTATTCTATTATTATTTTTCTACTTTTATACACATCAAAGAAGACATTTCTACGTTACATTGCAAATAAAGATATAGTTATAAAAATTCAAGTTTTTTTTCTTTTTGTTGTTTTCTTATTTAAGTTCTCTTTATTGCCTCGTTTTGAAGTCTTCTTTTTCTTTCCTTGCTCAGCCTCTTGCATTTCAAGTTGTTTGGTTTCTAAATAGTTAAACAATAAAGTTAGCTTATGCGCAAGAATTGTTATTAAAATAGTTTGACATTAAGTACATAGCATATGTGTGTATGAATAGCATATTCCAAGAACTGTTCTATAGTTGGCCTAAATTTAGTTTAGTAATTATCTAACTGTTAGTTAGCCAACTATTTAACAGTTTTCTTGAAATGACTCTAAGGCCCTCCACAGACTAGGTATTTAGTTGTCAACAACTATTTGTGATTGACAACTAAAAAATGTAGTCTGTGGCACAAGTTGTCGACAACTAAACCACAAATTATTAGTTCTCAACAACAAATGGTTGTTGACGGCCTCAGTTTTTAGTGTTTTTTTAGTGTTTGAAAACTTTTGTTTTAGTTGTACACTACTTTTAGATCTCTGCGCTATTGTGCCAGCAGCTTTCCCAGCTGGCTTAAAACATGGAGGATTGCAGAAGTAAAATACTCGGTAAAGAGAACATTCTTTTTTATCTTTCTTATCCACATCCTGTTCTTGAAGGTGGAAACTACACTAATGATATCATTATTGCAGCACCTTGTGCCCACCAACAAGATCTGGTGCAGGATATTTTGTCCAAAATGATTGAACGGCAAATTTGGTGCAAAGTTCATTCAAGGGAATTTTGGCCAATGTGTCGTAGAAACTGGAATGACGGCGATTTTATCACCAATTTGCGAGTAGACAGGGGTACATTTCCTCTTATTGTTGAAAGACTGACCCCTTATATTCACTGAGAAACGAGAAGAATGAGGCAGTCCATTGATGTCGATGAAAGAGTTGCTATGGTGTTATGGCGATACGGAGAATGCACAGTAAGCTCTTGGTCCCCAACCTCCCCGCGTATCGGTTGCTAAATCAGTTTTTTGAGCGCCAGTGTGTGGAATCCCTTTATTAGTCTTATTTAGTTGTCGGTAACTTTTAGTGGTCGATCACAAATAGTCTGTGGAGGGCCTAACAAACATTTCTACATCATCAGAATTATTGTTCCTGAAGCACATTACTTCTCTTGTTTGGTTATATAAACAGAGCAATTATGTTCTTATAGCTGGGAACCATGAAAAAGGCCTTCCAGAGATAAATGTTATTGTCAGTTTGAATCTCTAAATGTTCCTGAAAAATACAATCTAAAAAATGTATCCACCCTTCATACAAGCAGCCCCTGGTTATTACATCCATTCGTTTTTGTGGTCAAAAAAAAAGTCAATATACTCTCTAGGCAAATTTTACTATGCAACACATTAATTCTCTACATGGGGACCATTCTTATCAATACTTTTTCTCTTTTAGTAGAGTGTATACCAGGAATCTACAAAACATTAAGAAGTACTTAATAGTTACCTATCTTGATCCACTTTCTGGGTTTTAGTTTACCAAGCCTGCAGCTCTTGAAAAGGGCACCTGGGTGTGCTTTATGCCTGTTAGCAACATGACGTAGGAATGATGTCCATTTGAGCCAATCCCTGTTCTTGTTGAGGTTGCACACCAATATAGATGTCTTCTTTTTCCTTTTACCCATGAATTCATTGTCACAGCCTTTTTCCTTTCCAACTTTGAGCAACTTTTTTATGACCGATCGAGCAACATGCCACATGTCATAAAAATGAGCTGTACCTAAACAAGAGGTACAGATCCACTTTGCTATGTTGTTGGCGATGTAGCCATTTGATTTCCTTCCACACTCTGTCATTTCTTCTGAATGTATTTCTTCCTTCACGACTTTTCTTCGTTTATTGACTGGATCATAAACGTCAAGACTTTTCATTGCATGTCGTTTTATCTAAAAAAACACACACACTAGACTGAGCTTTTGATCACAGAGTACCAACATATGTGGAAAACTTAAACTTACCTGTCTTTTCTCTCTTTGAGTTAAAATTGGAGTCGTTGGAGCTGATGTCGTATCTCTTGTTGGCACTGAACCCTTGATTAACACTCCGTGCATGTTTTGTTCGCTCATGCTTTCAACAATAGTAAGATCTCAGGTTAACCATGAATCTTCAAAGTGTGCAGAGCACAAGCAAGCGTGTTTATTCACAGGTTCCTTGAAGTCTTCAGGCCTATGTATTTGGACAAATTTCATCTATTTCGATCTTATTTCTGGATTAGAAGGRAACTGATGCATTGTTATACCAGGTGTGTATGAATTATTAGTACAACTCATCTTATTTGGTGCTCCAGTGACACATCTTTTCCCTCCTTTACGCTTTCGACTAGAGTCCGCCATTGTTGTTGTGTTATCTCGAGTACACCATGTGACGTCACAAGATTTGTCACGTGATAGTCTGGCCAAGCAAAGTGGCAGTAAAGAAATTGAAGCGGTACCAGCAA